TTTCCTATTTTCAAGTCTAATGCTATGATTGGTACAAATTCTCATTTTCAACAGTAAATCAATTCTCATTTTCAACCACACATTTTTCAATAAAATAATATTTTCTATCACATCAATAATCTTATCTTCTTTTTCAACCATACATTTCCCATCATATCACTATTCAAAATCAATTCTTCCCCCAAAAAATCTCTACCAAACACACACATAATGAATGCCCATTTCTAAGAACTTACTGTAATCATTGGTGGATCTACACCCTCACACTAAGAGCCCGTTTGGTGCACATTAAAATAAAAGAATGTATTTTTTTGAAGTGATGTGATGGGAAATATGTAGTTGACAAAGAAGGAAAAATTATTGATGTGATGTAAAATATTATTTTATTGAAGAATGTGTGGTTGAAAATGGGTAGAAGAATGAGAATGAAAAAAATAATGTGGATCAAACATGGGCTAAATTTGAAATTCAAAATTTTGAAATAGATTTTTCAAGATTTTAAATCAGATTAAAAACAAAATCCTTATAATTTTCAATTTTGCTCTCGTCATTCAAATTTTGTGAAATTTTCCCCCATAACTCTACTCTCATGGCTCCGCCCCTGACAATAAACACTGTAAACCAAAGTGCTGATTTTTATAATTTTGTTTTTTCTGTAATGATCTTTACACATACCACTCAGCATGAATCCGTATATTCTTTCTTTCCCAATGATTTTAAATGCAGTAATCCGTATATTCTTTCTTTCCCAATGAATATATGTGGCAACCAATTGCATAAAGTCATCTTTTACACTAACTGAGTCTCATAATTTGTATATAACAGCAGCAAACTTATTGTAGAAATCCAGGAACAATTTGAAGGTCAGAGTAAACACTTAACGAGGAAAATGAGCAACTCATATTCTTGAATAGGTAGGAAAAAAACTTTTACGGAAAACTAGGCAGCAAATGAACTTCCACGAAAATAAGGAAAAGAAACAGTTGAGAGAGCTGGATAAGACATTACATTATTCCATTGAAAGCTACAAGAATTTTATGATTCACCGTGGTCCTGATAGAGTTGAAGGAAGTAATGGAGTTGCATCTCGAGAATCAACTTCTGGACTTCTGTTTGTCACAATCTCTGGGCTTGAGAAGTTATAATCTAAATCTTTCTCAACATCTTTAACACCCTCCAAGACCTTGATCACCGTTGACATTGAAGGTCTGTTGGCATAATAACCTTGTAAACACCAAACAGCAACCTGCATCATTTCCACGACTTCTGCTCCATGGAACTGCATATCTTCAGTGTGTTTGTCAATCATATCTAACCATTGTCCATTTTGTGCTTTTGTCTTGAAAAGACTCAGTAAATGTCTATCGTCCTCAGGCTCGGATTTTTCAAAATTTCTCCTACCACACAAAATTTCAAGGATCACAATACCAAAACTATAAACATCTACTTTCTCTGTTATGACTGAACTTAGCCATTCAGGAGCAAGATAGCCGGGAGTACCTCTCATGTTGGTCACAACTTGGCTTTGGTCCCTATCTATCAGTTTAGAAAGTCCAAAATCAGACAATTTAGCATTAAAATTCTCATCGACAAGAATGTTCTGGGGTTTGATATCCAAATGAACAATTTTTTGCCTGCACTCTTCATGGAGGTAGGATAATCCCTTCGCTATGTCAAGAATGATCTTTTTTCTGCATTTCCAATCGAGAGGAATTGCAGTGGTTCTTCCGTATATCCATTTATCTAGCGATCCATTCTTCATATACTCGTAAACTAAAAGCCTATGAGATGTATCAGCACAGAATCCAATTAGCCTAACCAAGTTGACATGGTGAATGCTACCAATAGTTTCAATCTCAGCTAGAAAGGATTTAATTTGCCCCATTTCATCGAGACATTTAACTGCGATTTCAGTGCCATCCTTTAGAGTTCCTTGAAATACTGAACCAAATCCTCCCTCACCGAGCTTTTTATTGAAGTTCTCTGTGGCATTTTTCAACTCTTCAAATGAAAATCTGGTTGGCATTCCTGGTACTTGATCAAAAAAGTCCTCCTCTACTTCTTCCCTTAGATCTTTTCTTTTTTTCATGGCTATGAAAAATAAAAATCCAATTACAACAGTTACCAATAAAATTCCTATACCGGATCCCAATATAGGCACAAGGGCACTCTTCTTCCCCTTGGTAGCAGCGGCAGGGGACAAATCTACTGAAGGTGATATTGCACTCGGAGGAACCTGCACTTTGATAGATATAGTTGAATTGTAATGGGTCTTGTCCTTCTCATTGTTCATCAGTGAAAATATCTGAGATGGTAAATAGCAATCCCCATCAAAAGGGTCTGAGCCATATCGAAAAATCGCAGCCTTACAGGAACAGTTTTTTAAGCATGTTTCTTTACAACGATTAATGTTTGTACTACTAATGTCTGGAGTGAAGGTAAAATATGTGGTTTCATCCAGATCCAAAAACTTGTGAAAATTGGAAGCATCACAAGTAAGAGGAATGACTCGAGAACAACCAAGATTAGGTTGCCTACCATCAATCTGCTTAAAATAGTTTGTAGAATCCATGGTCGATGTGGGACAACTACACTGCCCATTTGAACAAATTCCATTTTCACCACAAACCATTGGGTAATTACATTCACCAAGATAACCCGTAGTAATGTCAGCCACCTCCTTCCATCCTGTTAGCCATTCAAAAACTTTAAGATGCCCAACATAATCCAATTTAATGTACTGGGCTGAAGTGGCTGGAGGAATGTCAATCTTGTCCGAGGGACTCGTCTCTGTAGAGTTCATATATAAATCCAGACTTCCATTTATAAGCAGAGCATAAGTTAGTTCTTTATTCCTTTCGAAATTAGTAAACCCATGTTTAAAATAGACTTGAGGAGGATTAGATCTTATAGATGCAGTCAAACCTTGATTAGTCATAGACAAATAAATACCTCCTTGAGTCCAGTTAGTTGATGAAACACTAGCTGTTAACTTCTGCCCTGATTTTAATCTCTGTCCTGGAACCAAACAATCAGTGTGATGATCAAACGACTGCCAAACCACAGATTCATTTTCATCGAATAGAATAAGGTTTCCCATCTCGGTCAAATTTAAGCCAGCGACAGACCTCCTTGCAGTGTTTGTAGACCATGCCAAAGTGCCATCAACATCTTTCAAGACCAAATCCCCGTCATATGTGAGCTGCAAAGTTGAATTGATTCGAACTGGATTGTTGGGGTTAGCAGACCAGACAACCTGCGGGAATCCTATGCTGGGAGATGTAATACCTCCACCACTGTTTGTTTGAACAATAAAAATGGCAAGGATATAAGTTTCACAATTCCCTTTGCAGTAGAACCCACAGGCATATCTTGGACCAAAAGTTCCCCTCAGAAGGATGGACCTTATTGTTGAGCCATCTGTAAAATCTACAGAATGATTTGCAGAGACACTGTTGATCCATGAAGTTGAAAGTTTTGCTGTTGGGTAATCAAAAGGCTGGGAAGTCGTGAAGATTGGAGAATTGCTAAGAACGTAGGCGAAGAGAAAGATTTGAAAGGAAGCCAGGGTTTGAAGAAAAACTTGATTAGTTGACATGAATTATCCCTCCGCTAACAAGAAGGAAGACTTTGCAAAAAATCTAGGGGACTTTGCTCAAAAAGCTAGCCATTTGGTTAAATAGGGGTACTTTTCAAGTGAGTCAAGTCAACATTCCATTTTTCACTTTCATTCATTACAATAGCCTTCTAATGTATGAAGGACAAAACTACCCTTAACAAACATGTTACACAATTACAAAAATATGATATTATTTAAAAGACAATAATATATTTTTAAGTTATAAAGAATTTCAAATATTTCTCACTTAAAATTTCAAAATCAAAGCACTTTTTTTATATGTTTACTCCAATACAAATAAAAACTGTTTCATCTTATTCAAACTTGAAAATAAATAAATTTATCAAACGTTCAACAAGAAAATATTATTCACAGTCATCACTTAGAATCGGTAAGTAGATTTACGTATTTTTAATTTCGCTTTGGTTAAATTAGTACATTATTTTATTTAATCTTTAAATTTTATTTCGACATAGACTGATAAAAAATAACAAAAAAATTCATCTGCATATTGAAACATCCGGTCCGGACTTCCGAGCCATCGGATCCATCTGGCTCGGACGTCCAGGCAATCAGTTTTACCCCCTTTTTTCCCTAATTATATATTTATTTATTTTTTACAAATTATGTTTCCTAATGCAGATATGGGATCTCTTGCAGTCTCGATTTGTTACTTTGGTGAATTTGAAATGAATATAAATGGTCGATGGGTCTAGAAATGAACAGATGAAATACATGGCACAATTGCAAATGTGATGGCATCAAGTACATTATATGCACAAATGTACCGTGAGATACAAAACAAGCACAACGTCGATACCTCTCACTACGACATGGAATTGGGATTTCTATTAAAAAAACGAGCGTACATCTATTCCAATTTCACATGTAAACGTTACTTTTGAAGATGAAATCAAGATTTTAATTGAATTCAACCAAGTTCGCACGACTACTCCTATTTGTGTAACTTTAGCGAAGAAAAATGTCCCTCGATAGTGAACACAAAGATCTCGATGGAGGAGATCGTAATGTGAATGATTTTTGGAATACAGTGGAGATAGCTCGTTAGGATAATGTGATTATTCCCGATATAGTTGTTCCTCACCATGATTTCATCGTTATGCACAGAATTCCCACGATAGCTCAAGACAACGAGAATGAAAATGAATTTGATTATTTTATTCCGTCGAAGACACTAGTCGAGTTCATAACCTGGAACGAGTACACGAACCTCTAATTGTTCCCCGTATAGTGCCTGATAATAAAAATTTATATGTCGAGCAACTGTTTGAAACAAGAAAGATTTGCAACAAGTTGTGCACCGGATTTCTTTGAAACACAATTTTGAGTTTAAAGTGAAAAATCGAACAAGTCGACGTACACAATTATTTGCATTGAGGACAGTTGCCATTGGTGTTTGCGAACAACGAAAATGGACATGAATAAGTTCTTTGTAATTCGTAAGTACGCACGGGAACATACTTGCGAAGTGAGTATTTATCGAAATGATCACAGGCAGGCCCCGAGAATGGTACATTGGTCGACAAATAATACACAAGTTTTAGGACCCACGAACGATCTACAGACCTTCGGACATCATTAACGACGTCCGTTGAGAGTACCGGATGGTCATGAGCTATCAGATGGCCGGAAGGCCAAAGAATGCGCATTGGAGGATTTAATGGGTTCGGTAGAGGAAAGTTACACTAAATTGGCCAGATATTGCCACAATATGGGGAAAACTAATCTTGGATCGGCATTTTATATTGATATGGAGGACGAGAATCACTTCAAGTATTTCTTCCTGGCCCTTATATAGTGCGTTCGAGGATTTCGAAACGTCATGCGACCTGTAATTCTAGTCGACGGTACAGCCCTTAAGGCTAGATATGAAGGCAAGTTGATTATT